CGCTTATTTGTTAGCCCATCACAACCACTTCCAACAACTACAGCAACATCAACAACAACAACAACAACATCAACAACAACAACAACATCAACAACAGCAACAACCTAGTTTCAGAACCCACCAACAATTTACTTTTCGGCGTCAACAACAGCAACAACTTCCAATGTTCTTTCCGAACGATCTAATGATGGATTATTATCAACATCGTTTCATGTTTAATCAACAATTGCTCTTTCCAGCCAACAAAAACAACAACAAAACCCTCAACAAAAACATTTCCAACCACACAGACAACAGCAACTGCAATAACAATTTCGAAGAGACTATTGGCTACAAGTCAAATCTTTCACCTTATATGATGCACTTCCAACAACATCTACATCATCAACAACATCCACATCAACAACATCATTCTCAACATCAGCATCACCACCACCACCACTACGAACAACAGCAGCAGCAACAACAACAACAACAACAACTAAATCTTGATTATAAAAGTTTTTGCAGCAAAAAATTCTATCCTAAAAATCTTCCGCTTCAGAAAGGTTCGAAATTATTTTTATTTTTTCACAAGTTATTTTATTTTATTAATTCATTTCATCCGCAGTTCTTAACATTTTTTTATAACGCATTAGCATTATCATAGCCATTTTAATCATTCTTACCACATAAATGTCTTCATCACCACCATCATCATCATCGTCGTCGTTCTCGTCATCATCATCATCAACACTTCATCGTCATTCCTATCTCATAGACGTTGTTATCATTATCTTATTGTCATAACAATTACATCATAATCATAATTTCATCATCATCATCGACATCGTTGACATCATCGTCATTTCAATATCATTATCAACACCATCTGATTTTTTTCTAACAGCGCATTTCAACTTTTTTACAAATTTTCAATGGTTTAAATTCAAATGGCATACGATCAGTGTAACACATCCAACTCGTCTGCAAATTTGTCCCCGGGGGTTTCATCGCATGCGGGATCGATCCTTGTGACTTCGGATCACCACTTCAATCGTACCTCCTCCATCATTGCCATTATTTACACCAACACCATCAATCGTCATCAGTAATATTACTAAAAATCGAATTTTATCACTCAACTCACCACCATCGTCGTCATCGTAGTTATTGTGATCATCCTCTTATAGTCACATCATTATCATCTTTGGTATCATTTTTTTATTGTCTTCAAAGCAAAATTATTTTGAGGGCAAACAATAAACTTGGTTGTACAACGTTGTATGAACTTGCTGATGTTGGACCGAGGTGGATATGACAGTTTATTTTTTTCTTGGAGTTGTACCAAATAGTTAATTTGGCCAAAGACTGACTAATTCGAAACATACCAAAATTGACTGTCCTACCGAAGCATGAGGCCGAGTGTTAAGAAACCAAAATTTTGAAATCAATTTCATCTTTGGAATAAAAAACGGGCTACGATTTTTCTATCCAATTCTTCATCGAGATAACATTAATTCACTTGTTCATTTATCAATGTTTTAACAGCTCTGATAGCCAAAATAAATTCCTTGCTATTCATACCCAATAACTATTGTTCTAAAAGTTTGAAATATTTATTTGTTTACTTATTTGTTCTATTTTAACGGCACTGCATCTCCCTGATGATGCTCTGGTGTGTCTTCTTGAAATCAACATATCTTGTTTGTCATGTTTTACTATTACTGATAGCTAATTAACCTTTATTGTTTTTATTTAATTATCTATATGCCAATTAATTCTTTAATATCGCCATCTATGTATTTATTTATTCATGCAACACATTTATTTATTTTTATCTTTATCTAAATTTTTTTGGTATGCTTCGACTTACATATCCCAAAACCAGCAGCACGAGCAGTGAGTACTTCAAGCAAGCCCATTTCGAAGCATCAGCACAGGAACAAATTCTGATATATGAGAGAGAGTGACAGCCAATATATATCTGGCAATTTGTAACACTTAAAAACCAATCTTCCAAAAGAGCCAAAAACTGGTAGCACCGAGGCAAACACCAACAGACCGACAACGCCAACTCCACCAACCGATGCCCTACCCCGTGCGTACACCCGCAATTGGGATTTTTTGTATGCTACTTATTTTTTTTTGGCAATTGAGCCCAACCACACAGCTCACCCACAGTAGTTGCTCGTCACACCTCTGAAAACGATCTCAATTGTTGTTGCTACTTATGGAAGTCCAAAGAATTTTGGCTAGAATAGATGTTGCTATATTTGGCCATCTGGCTTTTGAGAATGGCTGCAACCAAAACTAAAACTCTGGCAGAATATTTGGCCAGGTCAAAAATTTGGTGTAACAGGCAAAGTGAAAATTAGACAACGCTGATCGAACGTGTTGATTGATAAACAAGTTCAAATTGACATGAAAGCGTTGGATGGCTAACAAACATTGTTATCTCTGCGCGCATAAATATTCGAGATACAATGTTTTTTTTATAATTTATTGAACATAGGAACAACTGTGCTTCAAAAATTGTCAATATGACTATAAAAAATTAATTTCACAAAAACATCTTCCATTCACCCACTTTATCATCATCTTAAACATCATCATCCTCATCCTGGTTATCACGAACGAGCATTATCAGTATATTAGAATCGTTGTTTACCATTATCACCACAACAGTTCCTACAACAGCCGCAGCAGCTCTCAATTCTACTTCCGGAACAACTTCCGGCAAAAAAATGATAGGCATCCGTTTCCTTTTTCCTCCGTTTGCAGACCACGTGACTTTGTACGAGAGAGCAAAGATCTGGGTCAGGAGGCATGAGTACAAGTACTTTGTTGATTGGTCGGAGAGTGACCTCAAAAATGTTGACCCTGAACTTCGACCATTGCAGCCAATCACGAGACAGCTCTATAAAATTCACATGAACAGGTTGGTACGGTTGGATGAGAAAATGATGGCGATGCTTAAAAAAGTATTATATAAAAATAAAAAAATAATTAAAAATAGTACGAAGACAGCCACCTCACCACTTTTGTCATAATCTCGTCACCTACATCATCTTAATTACCACCAGCCCCACCCCCAACAACCACCACCACAACTACCACCACCACCACCACCACCACCACCACCACCATGCCATCATCACTAGGAGTGAGCACTGCAGGAATGTGAAGCTGCAGTTCTGCCTGCACACCGACTCGGCGTGGGCACATGACTTCTGCGAGAAACTCCAGAAGTCCCCTGCCGAAGGAGGGTTCACAGGTTGCTAATAAATCAATTCAATCAATCAAATCCTTCATTCATTCAATTAATCCATTCAATTAATCCATTCATTCAATCAATTCATTCAATCAATTCATTCCTTCAATTCATTCACTCAATTCATTTAATCAATTAACATTTTTGTAATCAATGTATCAACCAACTCAATAATTTGGTAACCAATCAATTAATTAAAAATATTTAAGTTCTTTCTAATGACGACAAACCAACAAATCAGAAAAATTATTAAAAAACATTCATTCAATTTATCCATTCAATTAATCTATTCATTCATTCAATCAATTCATTCAATCAATTCATTCCTTCAATTCATTCACTCAATTTATTAAATTTATTTAATCAATTAACATTTCTGTAATCAATGTATCAACCAACTCAATAATTTGGTAACCAATCAATTAATTAAAAATATTTAAGTTCTTTCTAATGACGAAAAACCAACAAATCAGAAAAATTATTGAAAAACACGTACAGGGCTCTGCCAGGCGAAGATAGCAGCTGCGGAACTCTGGCGGACGTACAGCACCAACTACAGGAGTCATCAGGCCAGGCAGCCGAATGGAGTCTCCATCAAGAAACAACAACTTCAAAAGCAACACTTTCAACAAGAAGAACAGCTTCAGAAGCAGCAACAGCAGCTTCAGAAGCAACTACAGCAACAACAGCAACAACTAGAAGAACGGCAACTCCATCGATTTCAACATTATCCACACGAACAATCAAAACAACAGCACAAACAACCAAATGAATACAATCCGCCAAACAAAAAATTCAAACTGAAAGCTGACCTAGCGAGTGATGTTGAAAATGCTGGACGGAAAACCAAAAACAACAACAACCACAACAACAACAACGACCAGGCTGATGAAGTTGCTTTCTATATGAAAACTCCTTATAATTATGCATCCCATTGCAACATCAAAATCGGTTCTTATAACAACAACATTAGCAAGTGCAACAACAACATCGACAGCAACAACAACAACATCAACAGCAATAACAACGTTGAATGTTTTACCGACGGCAATTTAATTCAAGACGACACAAAAAATGGTTTGCTTAAAAAGCTAGATTGCTATCAACATTATATGCAACAACAACAACATCAGCAACAACAAATCAAACAAAAACATGCAACAAACCACATAATCAACAACAACAACAACATTATCAACAACAACATTTCTAGTCCAACAAAAAATGGCTGCAAAACGGTTAATAAAATCTGGTCTCCATTCGAAGAGGCAAAAATTGAAAACCCTTTCAACAACCACACTGAAGACAACAGCAACAACATCATTGACAGCAACAACGACAACACCAGCGACAACAACAACATTCACAACAACAACAACATATCAAAACACTTAAAAAATTTTAATGGCATGTGCAATGGCAACGGAAATGATTCCAGTTATCATTATGCCGATGGAGATGACAACAACGAAGGAGCTTATAACAACAAAAACAACCGCAATAACAACAACAACAACAATAATAATAACAACGTCGTCAACAACAACAATAATAATAACAACGTTGTCAACAACAACAACAATAATTATAACATTAACAACAACAGCAGCAACAACAACAACATTGTTCTATCCGGTAAGGACGATGAAGATGATGACGAGATTTCAGAACCGCCAACAGACGTCAGCCAGAGCAGTTATGTTGCTGCCATGTTCCAGCTATATTTCAAACAATTCTACATCCATCAGCAACGTCATCGTCAACAGTATCATCATCATCATCATCAACATCAAACAGACAATGATGATGATGATGGTGATGATGATGATAAAGGAAATAATAATGACGATGACGATGATAAAGACGATTTCATCGATATTGTCAACTATAATGATGACGATTGTGCGGTTGATGACAACATTAACAACAACAACAATAATAACAACAACCTAAACAACAATAGCAACAACAATAATACGACCAAATCAAAAACAGCTATATGAACGACAAAGATCATACAAAATATATAACCCGTGAAGAGAAAACAGATGATAATTAGCTAAATAATTTTTTATATTACTAATTTTATAGCTATCTTAATTAAGAAAGAAAAACAAAAAAATCTTTGATGAATTACATTATTTCTATTTAATTATAAACTGCAACATTCACTTGCTTAACTATTATATTGATAACATATGGAGAGCTATTATTATTATTCCCACAATCAAATACTATCTATTACTTCATCTCAACGTGCCTTTTTCGCCGACACTACCACTATCTTTTTCTCGTTATACTTAAGTGTGCTTAAATGTACTCACATACACACACACACACGAACGCACGCACACACACGCACACAAAACACGCACGTAGACACACACACGCGCGCGCGAACACACACAAACGAACGCACACGCACATCAAACACACTTACACACAAACAAACATACGCACGCACACACGCACGCACACATTTTTTAAACGCATTTAATTTATTCGATTTAGTTTATTTTCATTCGCCAGAGCTTGAAGTTCGATTTACATAAACGAAGCTATCATTATGGCTGCAAGAGAAGTAGACTGTCATTTTTTATCATCATTCTCATCATTATGATATTATTATCATCACCACCAATAACATCATCATCATGATCATCATAAAAAGCGACAAAAACAAAGTTATCATCACCGTCACCATACATCGTCTTCAATAGCAATGATAAGTTAAGCAATCAATATCGCCATAAGATCAAATCATTCATCATCGTCTCATCATTCATCATGATCATCACCATCATCATAATTAATTCCTTATTTTGACCAACGTTTAATTTTTATACTACGTTCTTATAAGAACCACCATCATTTGTCTGTCATCAGAGTCCTGATTGGTTCACTCATCGTTTTAATCATCATAATCATAGCTATAACATTCTTCTCAACCATCACCATCATCATCATCATCATTATTCACATCATCATCATTATTCACATTATTATAATTTACATTTTAAATATTTTTGAGTGCCTTTTATCTAGTGCAATTTGAACATTATATATACAGACTATCAGATATACTACAGCTGTTTAGGAAAGTCGCTAATTAAGCAACGCTGAAAAGGCTCTGACTTTCCTAAACAACCACAACTATATATATATCTATAATATATATATATATATATATACATATATAAATACATATATATAATATATATATATACATATTTTATTATATTATATTATTATATATATATATATATATAATTGTTAAGAAATATCACTGCATTTTTCAGCTTAGCAATTGTATTTACAAAAGTCTTAACCACATATATATATATATATATATATATATATATATATACATATATATATATATATATATACATATATATATAGTCAAAGCTAATAATTATATAAATATGGCTAAATTAACAAATTTAAATCAAATAAAAAATTATTATTGAAATACTATAAACAACTATCTTACTATTTTATTAAATATTTTTTAAAATTAAATTGTATTCATTAGATATATACGTTGATCGGTTGTTGCTAGCAATGCAATCTTCGCAACTGTCTCCTATTAGCAACCTTTGATACATATGTTACCTATCTATCTATCCTACCTTTCTATCAATCTATCTATCTATTCTATATTGACTTTCATGATTATGAGAGAACAACAATATAATAAATATAATTATTATCATTAGATGTTGTTATGGTTTGTGTTTTAACTTTCTTTTTGTTTTTTTTTTCTACTTTCGATATGGTATTATATATAGTAATATATTTCATTTTTTTATAATTTTCAAGCAATTTTTACAAAATTTTTTTGTTATCGTCTTGGTTTGATATATCAATTTTTAACAAAATTGGAACTCAATATGATACAAGCCTGCAAAGTGAATATGGAGATTGTATGTAAAGTAGATATAGATACACATACACTGCATACACATCTGCATCTACTTATACTTTCAAATGTTCCCTTTTGAGAAAATACAAAAGTAATTTTGAAAATAAGTAAGAATCTTCCAGATGGTGACCTATAAAACAGCTGTTTAGTTTTCAGTTGCCGGACAGGACCGAATTGAACGAATGCTGTTAAAGCTACAATGTTTTAAAATGCCACAAAAATCGCCATCTCTCGATCCAACACCAAAAATTATGACAAGTTATATTTTGTTCGTTTTTAAAAACGTTTGACTAAATGTGAATTTAAAAATTAAAATTTTGTGAGAACGTGCAAATGTTAGGTAAGGTACCTCTGCAATGAAACCACCAGTTGGTTACTGATCACAGAGAACTGACACTACTTCACTCCTAAGCCCTAACCTATATATTTACAACAAGCACATGCAACTATGCAGAAACTTACACAGACACATTGAATGTTGAATGTTTGAAAGATGGACGAAACTTTTATTCTCAAAGAGTTATTTGTTTAATGGCGGGACTGCCCTGCTGGGAGAGCCCTGCATATGGCAACAACAGTAGAGAAAATAATAACGATGATACAATCACAGCCAGAAAGGAAAAACTTGCAAAGTGGTTTTCACCTTCGTAATAAAAGATTTCCAGACAAAGATTTAATTGGCACAAGGTCGGTCCTCCAGCAATTAAAAAATAAATTCAAATGAAATTCAATTAAACTTTAAAAATTATTTGACTTTAGTACCGCATCAAAATGTGATGCGACTGGAAGGATTGGTCATCTGCTACATAATTGGTCATTCATTTGCGAGCGACCAACAATGAAACTCTGACCTGTTATTTTACTTCCAACAAGAGAGTAAATGAAGTCAGACCTGACGACTGCCAGCCATTTACCGCCATCCAACCTCGCATATGCATTGATAACTGCCTGTTAGTGAGAGTAGACATACAAGATCAGCAACCAACAGAGTTGACCATGACCTCTGACCAGGGCTCATCAACTGTCTGCAAAAAAACAAGATGGCGTCTCAGTCTATTATTATAATAATATTCTAATTGAGTTTTGAGAGCGTTTTTGAGAAATTGTTTGCTTATTAATTGGACATACAACAATAATTCATCATCGTCAGCACAACAATAAGCAGCACGCACACACAAGCACACACACATACACACACACAAGCACACACACACACACACACACACACACCTCTGCAAAACCAATCCAACCGACAACAAATAAAACGAATAAATAAATAAAATTTGTGTGACGTCATTTGAATGACCTTGAACCTTGATCGACCTCATTTACTTGCATCTGATTGGTTGATGTGCCCAAAGGGTATATTTATTGCCATTTTTTACTATTGGTGCTAAAATGCTTTATACAAGGGTAAATAAATCGTATATGTACACGTAAGTAGTTTACACAAACGCATACACATTATATATACATACATATCTCATGGCCGAGTGGTTAGCGTGTTCGTCTACCACTCCCACAACCCGGGTTCGAATTCTGCAGTTTCTACAGATTCATCCAGGTAGCCGACCCCCGGTCAATCCAGCCGTCCATCCTTTCGAGGTTGGTAAATGGGTAGACGACGTAAGTTGTTGCATGCTGACTGGCGAGATGGCTCGGTGGTTCAAATGCTCGCTGAGTCAAACTCAAATGCTCGCTGAGTCAAACATCTCAATGGCTATCATATACTCAGCGTATATGATGCGGTGCTTGCGCGTGCACATAAATACGTGTGTACGTCGTGTGAAAAGGATAACAGCCTTTGTGGCAAAAGATGGCTGCTTCAAATCAATAGATGAAGAAAAGAAGAACTTTATAAAAGATATATAGATAACATAATATATCTGTAACATTGTAAAGAGTTGCATAATGTCAGAGCTGCAATAATAAAGACTAATAAAAAAAAATATATGTGTGGGTGGTTGGGCAGTGCATGTGTATATGATGAGGAGAAGATAGAAATTGAGCTATACTAACAAGACTGCCCTCCTGATTAGCGGTATTTGTTCTATCAATGCAGATGCTGATGTTGCTAGAAACTGGCGATGCTTACAAGATCATTGCAACGCTACTTAACTGAACAAATAACAAGAGGCTTCATCTAAAGTAAACTTCAAAAATTATATTACATCACTGTATTCAGTTTAACTTCAGTTTAACCTAGTAATACAGCTACTACCACTACTGATACAATTATTTCTATTATTACTGTTCTTCCTACTACTACTGCTACTACTACCACCACTTCTACTTTTACTACTACTACTACTACTACAACTACAGCTGCTGCTTCTACTACTACTACTACTACTACTACTACTACTACTACTACTACGTCGTCATTCTGGCTACATCTTATGTTATACTTACTTCTATTGCCACTTCTACCACTAAAACTACCACTATTTACTACTCTCACTGCAACAACTGTTTCTACTTGAAATAGCACTGCTGCAATTACTACAACTACAATCGACGCTACTACTACAGCTGCTGCTGCAGCTGCTACGATTTCGCCATTACTTGTCACTGAATAATAAATAACATTTCTGGCAGTAAATCACCTATGAAAATCATAGCAATAAAATCAACAGTAATAAAACAGCATAATAATAATAATAATAATAATTATGATAATAATAATAATAATAAAAAGTACAAATAAAATAAAATAATGAAATAAAATAAAGTGAATATAATAATAATGATAATAATAATAATTATTATTATTATAACAGCAACAACATCAGCAACAATAATAATAATAACAACAACAACAACAATAATAATAATAATAAAACGGCCATAGCAACAAGAACGCATCGTAAAAGATTTAATTGCATGTAATATCGCTAGAGCGCACAATACGTACTCCACTACAATAATATGCATAGTCAATAACAGCAACAACAACGACGACATTGCCATCATCAACAACATCAACAACAGCAATAATAACAACAACAATAATAATAATTTAATAATAATAATAGTTAATAGCTGGCCGGTTGGTTGATGCTTATGATCGTTGAAAACTATTATTGATCGTAATTATTATTATTCATTGTATTATTATTATTATTATTATTATACGGATTTATTTATTTATAGATTATATTATTTATAGATAATATTATAAATTTTAATTTTTAAAATTTAGTATTAAGTCAAGGCGGTATGCAAAAATTTTTTCATCTTCTCCAACGAAGGTGAAAAAGGTATCTGAAAATTGGTCACCGATACATCGTTATAATGATTAAAGATTAAAAAACTCTATCGGTGGCAAAATATTATTGATATAACACAGGATACAAGATAAAAAATATGATACATGATAAAAAGTATGATACAAGATACAAGATATGATACAAGATACAAGATATGATACAAGATACAAAATATGATACCCTACATGATACAAGGTATAATACAAGATACAAGGTATAATACAAGATATGATACAAGATGCAAGGTATGATACAAGATACAGGGTATGATACAAGATATGATACAAGATGTAATATTTTATCGATAGGGTATCAAATCAGTCATCAAATATAATTCAAGAACGTTCTCAATATCGATCGGGAATGGGAACTCCGGAAATTGAAATTTTATTCCCGATAAATCGGTTATAAAAATTCCCGTTACAAAATGCACGGGACGTCTACTATCCAGTTCTGGATGTCTTTTGCCCTGTTTACAGCCTACAATGCGTCTTGATTTTTCATCATGAAGAGTTTTCTTGAATTTTCGACTTTTTGATATCGCAACAACACGTGGCTGGTATTAAATACAATAAATAAATATATACAATATTTTAAAATTTAATTTGAGGTTGAGGTTTATTGGATGAAAATAATTTGTTAGATTGAGAGCCCGCGACATATTTTTTTGCTTAACTAATAAACTGATGAAAATAAAATTTAACTACAATATTAGGATTTCAATTCCAACATTTCCTAAACGTAGAAATCGTTTTTGATATACTGTGTAAATCATAATTGGAAAAAACAAAAAAACAAACAGAAAAGAAACAAACAGAAAAGAAACAAACAGACAGACAGACAAACAAAAAACAGACGGATTTTATTCTCGAGAGGCCAAGGAAAAAATGTGTCAGTTCAGTGTCATTTATGTGCAACTAATGAGGACTTCGAGACTTCAAGTTAATGCCTTTGAACACTGGCGCTGGCAAAAATTTTTGATTTTATGAATAACCACCTGCAACTAATTAAATGAAACAATTTAAAAGTTCAGCCGATTAAGACAAACAGCACCAGGCGACCTCAACCATTAGACCATCACGCCGCACTATTACGTAACACCCAGAATGGAATTATTTAAATTCTTTATTGATGAGTTTGAGTAACTGTACGAACTTATTTTTAGAATCAATGTTTTAATATTTAATATAATGCATTACTTTTTAATAATGCTACTACCATTATTAATTATCAAATACTGCTACTAACCACCACCGCTACTACTACTACTGCTACTACTACTACTAATACTAATAATAAAAAAAATAATAATAATTATAATTATAATAATATTTGTTATAATCGTATCATTATTATTGTTATTATTTTCAATATTATAATGGTTCCACATATAGAAATGCTTGGATGAATTGTGACAATGGAAACAAATTTATCACCACATCTCATCGTAAGAAGTTTTACGGCATGGAGAGTGTGGGGATGGAGATAGCGAACGATGCGCTTGTTGTAGATTGGCATAAGACAGATAAAGTTTGAGAAACGATTTTTTAAACACACAGACACGCCCACACACAAGCACACCAACCACATACACACACCAAACACATACACACACCAAACACATACACACGCCAAACACATACCCACACACAATACAAAATTATAAGAAATAATTACATGCTTTTTAAAACATATTTTTCGTATTATACATAGCGTATCTATATAATTGCTATATAATTGTTATAAAATTTAAAATAAATTGAGTTCTTCATTTGGAAACAAGTTGTTATTAAAAAACAAAGAGACGGGAGTCGTTTATTGCAAAAGTGTTTCGAGAGGGTGGAAAGCGACAACTTTTCATGTTAAATTAGAAAATACTCCAAGGACATCATTGGCGGATCTAGACAACGTTGACGGGAGAGGGCCAACATTTAAAAAACCTTCTTTTCTTATGTGCGAACCGCTGATGATTTATTTGCCCGGAATTGTTTTTGTAGCTTGATGAAGGCGAATAAAAGAGCAAGTATTTAATAAGAAAAATTTTTGTTCTTTGAAGTGTTTTGTAAAATTAAATTTCATCAGGTCATTTAAAAAATTAAATAGGTTCAATTTTAAAATATAAAATAATAAAAGACAAAAATATATTTTCTAAAGTATAAAAAGTGGTTTACTTAAAAAAATTTAGGCTTTGGTTAATATATTTTGAATGTTCAAAAGTAGTTTACAACGAAAAACGATATACTTGAAAGCGTTGTAGAACAAATTTGACTGAAGTCACAAGCGAAAAATAACCATCGATTAGCCGAACCTCGTGAATCTCGTAATTATTTCTTGCTGCGTGCAATCGAGAACGCCCCTTCAAACTCCAGAAGGTTCATTCCCCGCTGAAGGACAACATCGGCAGCCAGTTAGTTCTCCGGGACATTTTTGTCATCCAACCAACTCGTGAAACCATTGAGTTTTCCAACAGCGTATTTTTTTGGGAAAATGAAAATTTAATAAAAAAAATCTAAGAGGCCATTTTAGCGCTCAACTGCAAGCGACGCTCGGTGCCTGATGCAACAGCTAACACCACCGAGTGAGGTCTTCTTACTCTGACGATTCAAACGAAGGGAGAGAGCATCGTGCATTGCTGGGATGGCATTGAGTACCGACCTTTCAAACCGCTCAAACCACTGCAATTCACATTCTATGTAACAGCTCCACCCATCATTTATTTTATTATTGATTACAATTATGAACAATTGAATAAATGGATGGATGGATGGATGGATGGATGGATGGATTGATAGATGAATGGATGGATTGATGGATGTATGGATGGATGGATAGATCCATCATCATCACCATCATCATCATCTTCTTCTTCATCATCACCATCATCATCATCATCTTCATCACCATCATTACCATCATCGTCATCATCATCATCATCATCCTAGCAACATCGGTTGTGCAAGTGCGAATTTAATATGCTTTTGATTTTCAATAGGACAACTGAACGTATGATGAACGAATGATGATGGAATCAAAGGGTGGCTGAAAGTATGAGTGAATGAATGAGTGAACAAAGGAATGAATAAACAAATAAATGATTGAATGATTGACTGACTGAATAAATGAAAGAATTATTTAATAGATGGATAAAGAAATGAATGTATGGATAGATAGATAGATAGATGGATAGATGGATGGATGGATGAATGGATGGATGGATGGATGGATGGATGGATGGATGGATGGATGGATGGATGGATGGATGGATGGATGGATAGGCGGATGGGTAGACAAGTTTATAAAAAACGAACGAACGAGTGAATGAACGACTGCATGAACAAATAAACGAACAAGTGAAAGAATGTGCCTACTCCACTGGCTTGTGACGAATGTAAATAGAAGGTGATGATGAATAAAACTAGAAAGGGCTATAAAGTATTATTATTTTTTCATTCTATATTATTAGCGTATTTATTATTATTATTATTATTTATGTTATTATTGTTATTACTATTATTATTATTTTATCTACCTAAGCACGCTATCACGTATATATGCGCGCGTTTGCAAGTCTGTTCTTTATAAGTTGGCATGTCTGTTTGTGTATGTCTGTTTGTTTATGTCTATTTTTATGAGTGTGTATGTGTGTGTTTGTGTGTGCGTGTGTGCGTGCGTGAGTGTGTGTGTGACAGTGCGTGTGTGTGTGCGTGTGTGCGTGCGTGCGTTCGGGTTTGTTTGTATGTGCATAAACCTGAAGTAAAAATACTAGGAGGTAATTGCTCGATGTGGCTTATAAAAGCTGCTCTTTGAAATTGGGCTATATAATTTTTTAAAAAAAGAAAAAACATCATGGGAAAAAAATTTAAAATAAAAAACATATTTGCAAATCTTGAATTATTTAAAATCTTTGGACGATAGCGGAAATTTAAATTGGATCCTTTTGTGAAAAATTTTTTTTTTCGTTTTATTTTCAAGTTCTCCACATTGGAAAATTTATCAGAACATTTTTAGTTGGCATTTCCTCTTCACAGTTATGAGATCCTGGTAGTAGTGGTAGCAGTAATAGTAGTAATAGTAGTGGTAGTAGTAGTAGTAGTTGTAGTAATAATGGTAGCAATAGTAATAGTAGTATTAGTAGTAGTAGTACTAGAAGTGCTTTAAAATCTTGGCACCCCGTGATAGTGATCAAGATCCGTCACTGCTTGTAGATGATATCAGTATAATGGTATCCTTTTTTATTGATACTATCACTACTATACTAGCAACGTTGTAATAGTAGTAGTAACGTTGGCAGTATTGAAAATCGGTGAGAGCAGTTGCTGAAAATTTGAACGCGTTGAGAGTAACGGTGCGGTGTTTGTAGTTCTTCATTTCATTCAAATATCGTCATCGTTATCAAGATAATTGCATTACTCATAGTAATAGTAGTAGTAGTAGTAGTAGTAGTAGTAGTAGTAGTAGTAATAGTAGTAGTAGTAGTAGTAGTAGTAGTAGTAGTAGTAGTAGTAGTAGTAGTAGTAGTAGTAATAGTAGTAGTAGTAGTAGTAGTAGTAGTAGTAGTAGTAGTAGTAGTAATAGTAGTAGTAATAGTAGTAGCAGCCAGAGCCGTATTTACCAAAGTTTTAGGAGGCGGCATATTTTGATGTTAAAATAATGTTTATGAAGACGCCAAAAATTGATATACGGTCATTTAGACGAGTATATTCTTGTGTGGCCTGCATGGTTACGATGCTAACTGCGATTCAGGTGTGAATGTGCGAATTTAAAAAATTAATTCATTGGCCGAGTAATGGTCAATTTAATAAATTGATAATTTATAAATTTAATAATTAAAAATTTATTAAATCTCAGTTATAAACCGAAATATTTGTCGTCAGTAAAACGATACGTCCAGGTGTTAATATGGATATTTTAAAAATAATTTAAATAATAATAGAAATATATATTTTTTTAATTGATTATTAACATGTTATAAGAGATAATTTCTATGATATTGAAAAAAAGGCAAAAGCTATAACTGATGCTGATTATTAAGAAACACGTTTTTGTAAAAGAAAAGTGCGTTTTGATGATAGGCCAGAAGAGTCTGCTCGAGTTAACCACAGTGATAAATTTCGAAAAAAAGTTTTTTAGTAGTCACCAATAGATAGATTGATTTCTGAACTGAAAAAAACGACGATTGACTTACGATAAGATTCAGAATAAATTTGAATACTTTACAAGTTTAAAACTTTGTCAATCGAGAACCTAAAATTTACCGTAATAAAATTTTGTCAGCACTTTGTGAAGATTTCAAGGAATCTTTCATCGAAGAGTGTATCCATCCACGAGAGCATTTAAACCAAGACGAGACATTTAGACTAGTTTATTCTTGTTTAGTCTACATGGTTATGATGATAGCTGCGATTTAGGTGTGAATGCGCGAATTAAGAAAATTAATTCATTGGCCGGGTATATTCCAATATTTTCTGCAGCCGGATAAGACAAACGGTCCCACAGAGGTATACGGTAATGTGGATATTGCGTTGTGAATAATTAAATTTACCGTGGTGACCGCAGTGACAAATAATCGAACAAGTCTGAAAATAGACTGAATGAGTTGGCAGTTTTATCAATAGAAAATTATGTACTTTTGTAATAAAACTTTTTACAAAATAATTCATACAGTTTCTGAAATGAAAGTACTTGCGAAAAATAATGACCAGCATTCTAATGATCAAATAGAAAAACTTTACGATCTTACAGCATGGCTAGAAGTTTGTATGATAGTTGATTATTATATTGGCATAATGTATATTTATTACAACTCCATCATGCAGTAAATTTAATTTTACAACGGTACAAATTGTAAGATAAATAGTCAGAGATTATTAATTTACATCTTTCATATTGTAAATTTTATGAACAGTCAGTAAATTATTTTTTTTGAGTTGTAAACTTTCAACGTGATCTGGATGGTATATATATCTTAAGTTTGGGTTACTTAGTATCTTACAAACTTTACATACAGTTTTGTATCTTTTTTCGTGATTGCCACTAATTTATATTCATGTTCTCATACGTAGCACATTGTTTGACGAATTGAAATTGCGGATAAATCTGAAAATCTGTCATTTTATTTCTGTTTCAAAGATGGGATTAAGAAAACGAAAAGCCGCCGAAAATGAAACTGCCGCTGATGTACAAAAGAAACGTCGGAGATCTCCAAGTTCACGCACCACGCAGCTCAAAAAATACAAGACTCCGAATGAACCGTCGACATTCACTGCCAGTGGGACCTCGTTCACCATGGGCATGGGAGAAGTGGGACAGTTAGGACTGGGTCCTGATGTCATGGAAGCCAACAGAGTAAGCAAGATTAACTTGAAAGATCCAATCCCGTTCAAGTTTGCTCTGGTGGCATGCACAGTTTGTGCCTCACCTCTAAAGGAGAAATCTACTCATTTGGTTGCAATGATGAATGTTCATTGGGTAGAAAAACTGAGGAGGAAGAAAACTGTTTTACCGCAGATAAGGTTCTGGGCATTGAAGGATGTGTTGTGCAGATCGCTGCGGGTGACAGTCACTCAGTTGCCCTCACAAACAAGGGACATGTCTACATATGGGGAACTTTCAGGGATAACAGTGGTGTTATTGGAATGAACAAAGATGATAAAAATGATGTCAGACATCAAATATTAGAGTTGAAAATAGAAAAGCCTTCACTGATTTTGAGTGATCAGATTATAGTAAAAATTGCTTGTGGATGTTCACACTTATTGTGTCTCTCAAATAAAGGCGATATTTTTAGTTTAGGTGCTTCAGATTGCGGTCAACTGGGCAGGGTGGCTGAATATTTTGCACAGAGAGGTGGACGAAGAGGGCTGAGTAAAATCCTGACTCCTGGAAAAGTGTCTTTCAGCAAGAAAACAAAATGTGTTGACATATGGGCGGGGGCTTACATATCATTCGCCAGAACTACTGATGGTGCAATATGGGCCTGGGGTCTAAATAATTACTTTCAACTAGGATTTCCAGACATGAGGGATCGATTTACTCCGGAGATAAGTCCCAGTTTTGATTCATCTATCGAGTGGAAGCAGATTGCTTGTGCTGAGCACCACATCATTGCCATTGATGCAACTGGAAAGTCGTACAGCATGGGTCGAAAAGAGTACGGTCGATTGGGATTAGGAGAAGTGAAGGAAGATGTGAAAGAGCTGGCGTTGATAGATACCTTGGCAGATAAGAAGGTACTGTCAATTAGTGCCGGGGCGTCGGTTTCTTATGCAGTCGATGACCAGGGCGTGCTGTATGGATGGGGTATGGGCAGCACCTTTCAACTTGGCAATGGAAATGATGAGAAAGATGTCTACACTCCAAAGCCTATCACAGGAAAACAGCTTGAAAAAATGAGTTGCGTAATGGCGTCAGCTGGAGGACAGCACACTCTTGTTCTTGCTTCTAGCAAATGATCGTGACACGATAGATATCCATGAAGGATGTCCACAATCCGTCATGCAGTTTATTATACCATGCGTGAAAACATTTATTGACAGGATTGCTTGTGATACACTTGATTTGATGATTTTTTTCGTTATTAACCTTAACATGTGTGTGTACTTTATCGCTGAAAGATAATTTATTAATTTTTTCCGTCGCGATTGATCTGAAGTTACGATTCATTTTGATTTATATGAATTGTTTGGTATTTATAGATATCAATATAACATCTTTATTGCGTGTTATGTTAGAGTTTTATTGCGCACTAAGTTTCTTGTTTTTAAATAAAGTATTTCGTTTTATATCCAACCTTTGAATTGATTCAGATGACGTTTGCTTATTTGGCTCATAATATGTTACACTATTGTTATTTCAGAATTTATCATGACTCCACATATATTTGCTTCAAATAAAAAATTTATCTTAAAAAATATTTTGAAAGAAATGTGTTTCATTCTATATCCTACTATTTATATTATAAATTTTTAATTTAGTTTTCAATTTTTTTACTGATTCAAAACGTTTAATACATAACTCATCATTTAAGGTAAATAAATAAAAATAACTATATTGTGCTAGTTGATCTAATAAATATTGTTTGTTAATAATTCGAAAAATGTTAAGTAATGGAGGGCAGGCAAAATTTTCCAAGCCTAGAGCGCCAAGTTCTTAAATCCACCTCTGGTATCATCATCAGCAATGCATATATTAAAAGTTATCAATAATTCTTTTCAATAATCAACCAATCTCTAACTCGTTCATTTTAATCCATGAACTTTCTTTGGGTTCTAAGGCAAAAACCTTCAGAAAAAAACTCCCTTGTTCAAACTCACCGAATAAGGACCCCTTCGGACAAAAAAATCCCAAAACAATAACTCAGGGGCTTTTTACTCTCACCAAAAATTTGAAATCAGTACAGAGCCGAAAGAAAGTTGTTTGTGGCGAATTATTAGTATGGTTGTCATTTTTATAATTTTTACGACGTTCACACAAATTATATTGAGCCGGTCTAATACATGAGATGCCAGATGTTGAAATGGGAGTTTATACTCATATAACTTGTTCTGTTCATACACCAATTAAACTTTATAAATCATTCTTTCATATGAAGAAGATTTTGCATCAATCTCATACTCATTAGAGCGAATGAAACCTTAATATGTATGCAATTATTTCCATTTAAAATAAAATTTGCCAACAAACATTCAACCGTCCATTCATTCATCCGTCCATCCAACCATTCATTCGTTTGCTCGTTCGTTCATTTATTCATTCATTCTGTTTAACCTGTGACCTGCTGGAGACCATCATTTAATGATGAACCAACCAGCCAGAATTGAACAAGCAGCTTACAATATTATTAATAATAATAATAACAACAACAATATTAATGAGAACAGCCTTTTATTTGCATCATGAAATAGAACATACATGAAAAAGAAAAAACCATTAAAAGTTAAAATAATGTAAACTCTTTTATTATTCAGAGAAAACCAGTAAAATCAAAAATAATCAAAATAAAATATGTCAATAAAATGTTAAAATTAGTTAAATATAATTAAAATAATAAAATAATATGAATAGTCATCAACGCTCGTTATCCTGAAATAAGTGCCATGATGGATGATAGCTTGTATAAAAATTAGTAACAGTTTGTTCACGCATTGTTTCTATCGCAGTACAAAGCATAAGATGACGATATTACACTATTGATTAAGCTATATCGAAAATTATCAGTCCAATTTATATCGATTAGAGACAGAATAAAAGGATTATAAAAACCTATAGGCGATATTTCAAAAGTTTTAATTAAAATATTGGAATGTTTAAAATCATCTACAATGTTATTTTTTAAATTATTTAAGTATTTATTCATCTTATATTGTTTTGATTTCATAAAGTTTGTTTCATGGCACACGGTCAGTTCGAGTATTTCAATAGTATCTTTGTTACAGACAGCGATGTCGGTTCGGAGTGATTTGAACAGATCCGTTACTGGACGCACCAATTCTTTTTCTACGTCTGCAAATATTTCGATACCCGGCCTTGCATTTGCTTTTATGTTATCAATAATTATGGAAAAAACACAAGTAATGTTGATTGGAACTAAACAACAGCTCTCGAAAACTGATGTAAAGAGCATAAGATTTGGGTCTGTGATGGTGCCGTTCACTGGTGTGGTGAAAAATTTGGGTTTCTGGTTGGACAGTACACTGAATATGCATCAGCATGTGAATAACCTCGTTAGGGACTGTTCATTTCAGCTTCGACAGCTTGGCCGCATAAGAGCCTCTCTTGATCTGGATACAACAAAATCTCTGATCCATGCGTTTGTGGTCAGTCGGGTTGATTATTGCAACAGTTTGCTGAGCGGATGTCCGAAGTCAACAATATATGGGATAAAATCAATACAAAACAGGGCAGCGAAGCTTATAATACAAAGAAAAAATATGACCATGTGACCCCAATTTTTCGTGAATTACATTGG